TTCCTCGGTTTTTGTTAAGTTGTAGCGCACTGGAAACTTGGAAGTCGGGTTTTGGTCGATTTTGAGTTTAAAAGCCCAACTTTGCGACAATTATAACTCGAAAACGGTGGGTCGTATGGAAAAAACGTATACCACCTTTTTAAAAGGAAATTTAATAAGCTTAATTATAGCACTGAGGTATTTTGACGGAAAAATGACTTTTTCACTGACTTATAGGCCAAAAACCGAAAAAATAGCGATTTTAGGCCTAAAAATCCAAGATGGCGGCTGAAGCTCCACTTCAGGAATGGTGCAAATTTAACCCTTATTTAAGGACCTCATAATACGTCTTTTAAAAAAATGTCCAGCTTTCCAGCATTTAATTCAATATTACCCCTCATATGGAGCTGTGGTGCCTGGCCTATACAAAAAAAGGTGATAAATTTGTATCCCTTTTTTAAATTATTTTTTTTTGTCTATAATTTTCGTTTTTCCGGTAATAATGTTGAAGGGAGGAGAAACTTACAATTTATATTCAGGAAATTTGCTTGGCGTCTACTTCATTTGATATCATTGCTTTTGAGGCGACGAATATTTATATTTTTAGCTTGGCGGGTCATTTTTACACGGAAGTGTTTTTGGTGTGATACTTATTGTTCACTAACTTTTATAAAAGTCAAAATCAGTCCTGAAGTACATGACTGCCAAGTACTTTTATTATTTGATACGTCATTTTTGTCAATAATTGGAAAAGACACATTTTTAGACCATTTGACAAAGCTGATGGATTATCAGTTTCTTCATCTCAGAGGGCGATGATGTGACGAAACATACTTCACCGATTAGAATTCGATGTTTGAGGGAGATATTAGATGCTTCAATCGTGTATACATCAGTTGTGGAAGCGCTACGTATGGCTAACTTGCTTTCAACATGATGATGTGCGTGAAAGCTCGCAAAAGTTGGTTCTGTTCGTGCCTCCTTCAGTTTTGCTGTCAAAAATATGATATTTTTCTTTTCGTATGAACAGGTAAGAGAGCTTAGACTTTTTCTATTTCCAATCAAAACTCCCTTTGAGAAAAAATTGATTCTTGAAGATCAACTGAATAAATATGATTTTTTTGGATAGTAAGAATAAAACCGCAAACATTTCAATTCGTTAGAAAAAATTTTGAGCATGTTCTACGGTTGTGGCTTTTAGAATTTTTTACCGAAGCTTTTACGTTAACGATTACTGTTACGTTGAACGATTGAGCAACGGCAGTAGTGAGTGATGAAGTTTATTTTACTTTGGCACTACAAACAAAGACCACCATTTTGTAAATTAATCCACGAGCAAGAAATAGTCAATGATTGAAGTCCTCATCTGTTTTTTTCCGGCTGCATTCTAAGCTTTGTGATTGCGTGTGGAAGACAGGGAGTCTATTTTAGGACAAAAGGGATTTTGAAACATGCAAGGGATTTTTATAATTTTGAGTTTGATTCTTAGATTCTTTAAAATTGCAAACTATTATATTGGAAGCGAAAAACTTTTTTGTAATTCCCTGGGTTTCAAGGTGCGCCTGTTTCTTCTCGCCTGTTGAATGTTGAATCTGTTGGTTTGCTGCATATGAAGGAGGCCCATGGATATTTCCTTGTATACTTAATTTCTATTTTGAGGACCTCAACTTGCACTAACCAAGTGCAATGATTACGAAACTAAGCATGGTATGGCTAACACTCAGTGTTATGGAAGCGGTAGGTTCCTTTTTCTGTAATAATTGGCCGATATGTAATGAATATTAGCCTCCATGTTGGCGAGCTTTCTATCATCAGCACAAATTTTAAATTAAGAGGAAACCAAAGTATTATGCGGCATACGTTCGTGCAATTTTTGAAATAGACTTTGTACGCTGCATTTTTTGGACGAAGTGAAAACTTGTCCTTCGATTTTTAATTTTTATTTATAGTATGAAGGAATAAATTAATGGAAGGAATATCTCAAATCATGTAAAAAGCCTTTCGTGGGGGAGAGATCTGTAACCACAATAAGATTCATCACCAGTTATTAAATCGTAATTTTTCTGGTTACTACCTCAAGAGAAACGCATGTGTAGGAACAAAACTGCTCAGCTTGAGTACTTCAACATGGTTGAAATACTGAATTATTCAGTTCTGAAATCAGCGTAAAGATTGTATAACTGCAGCTTCATTTACTTGAAAGTGAAAATGCAAAAACAGAGAGAGCGAGCTGGCGTCCTTTTTCTCCGAAGATTATACTTCTGGCACCCAGTATGCTTGCGTGATTTGGATACACAATTACCTAATGACCGTATACCTTAATTCAACTCAAAACATGAGACTTTTGAGAGGAGGCGGCTCCAGCAGAACACGAATTTAAAACTTTGAAAAATGAGTTTTTCCGCAGTTATTTTGCTGTTCACAACGTTTTCAATCAACGTCCTCATTAAAAGTAGCAGGGTCTAAAACCTTAAAGTCATGCGAATATTTACAACAATACAAAAGTTTTACAATTTTTTTAGTCGCTAGATGCATTAGCTGCCTTTTATTTGAGCTAAACTTTACCTGTTTTTTCTCAAATTTCATTTCAGACTCAACCAAAGGTGGAGGAAAATCCACTCCTAGCGGTCTTAAAGTCTCCATTCTATGTGGACAAGACCCTTTTCATCGAGGTTTTCCACGACACTTTCACTTCCCCCATTTATTTCACAGCCCCCCGCGGTTTCGGTAAAACCACCAACTTACGCATGCTCAAAGCCTTCTACGAAATAAACACTTCCGAAAACGGAACTATCTTGAAGAAAGAAGAAACAGAAACCTATAAAGCTCTCCAAAAGGCGAGGACCATCACCGCCACAAGAGCCGGTCGATCACCAATGGACAAATTCTTCAATTCATACTTCGGGAGCCAACCGGTCATCTACCTTACTTTCAAAGACATCCACCACGACAGGCATGAGATCTCCATGAACAGCCTAAAATGGCTGATGATCCATGCTTTTAAGGCTCACCCTTACTTAAACACTTCAGAGAAACTGACGCCAGAGGAAAAAACACTAATTACACAATTTACCAACAACGAATTGCACAACGATACGGTCATAGAAAATAGCGGTGGCATCCTGGTTACGCTGCTAAGCAAGCATTTTGATAAACCGTGTCTTCTGCTGATGGATGACTTTGACGCATTGGTCATCAAGATGATCACCTATGGTTCAGGACACGAGGAACAAATTATAAACAGCGTTCAGAAGTTTTTGAACACACTGCTTTCGGACAGAAAGATAGTCAGCAGAGCTTTGCTGACTGGAAAAACGCACTTGGCCGGTTACTATACACCGCCTGGCTTAGTGAAACACTATCAGTTCGGCCTCCACGCGGTTTTAACAAAATTTTACGGTGCGAGCGTATCTGAGGCGCGGGAAATAACCAAAAACCGCCAAGTTCTCTACAAACTAAATCATGACTACAAAGGGTTCACCTTGACGAATACGAATTACTCGAAATGTATTTACGATTTCGAGACGGTTGTCAAATTCCTGGAAAATCGCAATCATACTCGTGTTCTTGACTCGGTCAAATTCCTGGAGCCTATTCTTGCAGATAAGGAGGTCAGAGATAGGATAGAGCTTGCTATCCGGATGGACGGAATTTTGATCACCTCGCCTAATGAAACTGATGTCAAAAAGTGTTTCGTCACCATGCAGAAGATTTTCAGATACAGTCAGGATCTCATACCTAATTATAAGGACTATAACGATACCTCCGGTATGTTCCAATCCAAGCTAGACCTGCAGGGTCCTAACAGGGACTGCTTGTTCTACTATCTCGTGGAATTGGGCTACTTTACGGTTACCAAGAGCGATGAGGCCAACCTCACATTGGTACTACCCGACGCGGCAGCCTACGACACTTTGAGCGCGCAGCTGGAGAGGTTTTGGGTGAACTACCTTCACATCGCCAATGTCACCGCAAGGGGCTTCGTTGAGTCGTTCATGGAGCTTACCTATGAAAACTCTACTTTAGAAGCGTTCGCGTGCAACGTGACCATGGTATTCATGAGTTCCTTTTTTTTTTTTTTTTTTTTTAAACCGATGCCTATTTACAGGAAACGGGATCTTAGTCTAATGAGGCAAACTTTTCAGTAGGAAAATGCGTGTCAAGTTGGGTCGAAATATCGGGTTCCGTGATTAAGAGCATGGAATTTTTTCTGACTTGAGTTTTTGTGAGTGGTGAAGGTTATTACTGTGTCAATAAAGTACAACTTTAGAGTTGTCAGAGATTTCGTGCCCTAAACAAGATAGATTAATAATTTAACCAATTTTTTGTCAAAACTACTTGTTTTGACAAGCAAACTTCGAACAGCCATCGTTATGATTCCAGTTTGATTTTACATTTTGGGCATTATTTATCTTAAAAATCTTGTAGAAGACTCTCTCCAAATTCTGGTGCTGATGTTTTCCATAGGGAGTTTATGCGTGATATTAGAGTTTTAATGCACTTTAAACTATTCAGTATTCTTTTTCCATCGACCCGTTTTAAAGTTTAAATTACTTATTATGTTAAAGGTATTCAAGGAGTCTCCGCACCGACCGACCTCCGAGGCTGATTTGAGGTCGCCGCTGTTCGCGTTTCTGGCCACCAGAGTGCAGGACTACCCCTTCTTGGAGCTCCGGTGCGGCGAGGACCCGCGCGACGGATACACGGACCTCCAAGCCGTAACGCAGCGCAAGAATCACTCGCGCAAAGGGGTGGTGATCGAATTCATGTATAATAATTGCAGTGTAGAGGTATTCGCTAAACATGTCAGGACGAAGCGCTACTGGGACCGATTCAAAACCGTCGAAGATGATAGGGATGTACTGAGATTCCTCGTTATTGGAATATGTCTCAGCAACGAAGACGAGTTCAAGTTCACTTTCATTTACGCTAGTAAAACACACGAAAATGAATACCTTGCTACCAAGAAGATCAAGCGGTGGAAGTCAGAGAAAAGTTAAAAACACATTGACAGAAATACTGTCGTGCTGAGGAAGGACGCCGTATGAGTCATGAGTCGTTGCCACATTTCCTTCAATAAAACATGAATTTACAGGAAAAACTGTGTACATTTTTCTTCAAATTTTTCAAACAATTTTGTTCGCAATGCTATCCAAGATATCTGAAAATTTCAAGGACAAATATGCCTGTTTTTCCTCGAAAAGGCGTGTTTCATCTAGGGAAATTTGACAACTCTCGAATGTTCATACGGCGGTTTTCCTTAGCACGGCAGAATACTTGTCAGTTGTAGTTATTGGTTCTTGTTACGTGATCTCCAATTTTTTCGGATTTGCGAGGAATAACAAAACTTCATCCGTATGCTACACTTACGTACGTTTGTTTCCGCCATCTCACGGAGACTCATTTTTATGTATATTCAAAGCGACAATAAAGACAATTATTTTTTCTTATATGTAAGTTAGAAGAAGCATTCATTCATCTTCCTGTGGGAGATAATTTGAGTTATTCCTGGATCAAAGGATTAAGATTTCTTGAAATCTTAATTCTTGTGACGAGCATCCTCCAACACCTAGAAGTATTTGTTCATGCCAAACTCACCATCGCTAAGAGCGCTTCAACTTCCCATAATTTTAATTTTTACTGATAGTTAGATACTTTTAACTATCTACCGAGCTGACTTATTGCATTATATTCCGGCTATTGTCTGATAATAATGTCTCGATAAGAAACCAATTTTTAAATTGTCGAATTATGACGCAGGTTTTTTATTGGAGGGAGAGGCTATCTTGGAGCTTGGAGAGCATGTTAGGGGTTGAACCGTGCAGTAGCAGAGAAGGGGGGGGTGGTAAAATCCTTCTTAAACAGAATTGAAATTTTATAAGAGAAACGGAAAAAATGGGCATAATTAAAGGGGGAGGGGGAATACGCGAGGATTAAGATTTAAAGGGGAAGCTTGAGACGCTCCTAGAGAGACGTTAATTTTAGCTCCCATAAAAATTATTTTTTCTTCACTAAATGGCACAGAAAAAGCGTAGATGTGACAGGATAGAGGATTTTTGGAAACAAATTTTGTGAAAATTAACCCTTTAAAATCTCAATTGCTTTCCACTGGAAAATCTGAAAAATAAACATTCTTTGAATGTTACTATTATTCATATTCAACTTCTTTTGATGGCTAATATTTACAAAATACTTGCACAAGTCGACAACTGGTATGAGAAACAGTTGCCAACGCGCAGTAAAAAGACGGACATTTTTTGCAAGTAATATGAACTCAGTTTCGGACCACTTAACAGTAATAACTGCTTATCAGTTTCTTTATTTTAGAGGGCAAAGTGCCGACCCATGAATGAATGTGTCGCCGATTAGACTTTGATGCTTTGATGAGATATTGGAAATTTCGATCCTGCATGCTTCAGTTATGAGCAGGCGCTATTAAATTTACTTTCAACAGAATGAAGTGCGTACAAACTCGCAAAAATGTGTTGTGCCTATTTCAGTTTCGGTGTTAAAAATAATATGTTTTCCATCACAAATGAACAGGTCAGAGAGCTTGAATGTTAATTGATTTCGAATCAAAGCTGTCTCAGAGCAAGAATTGAACATTGGTGATGAAGTGATTTTACAATTCTGTGATTAGTGAGAGTGAAGAAGAAAATGATTGAATTCGTTTATTAGAAAAATTTGGAAAATGTTTACTGCTGATAATTTCAGAACTTTCGGCTTGAGCGTTTGACATCAGTAAAATGTACGAGTTTTCACGTTTTCATTTTATGTAATTCACCACTACAAGAACCTGCAATGTGCATATTAATCCACGTGCAAAAAACATAGAGAATTCTCTACTTTTGAACCTGATTCTGATGCATAAAATTTAAATACGATTTTAGGGAGTAATAATTGTTTTCGAACGTCCTAAGGTTAATGGTGCGCCTGTTCTTTTCGGCCTGTTGGTGTGTTGTGTAAGAAGGACTCAATGGACATTTTGCTGCGTGCAATTTCTATTTTAAATACCTTGAACTTGCATTGACCAGCTGCCATGATTGCGAAATTGGGCATCGTATGGCTGACACTCTGTGCCATAAAAGCGGTAGGTTTAATTTTCTGTATCAACTCGCTAACGTATGATGAATATTATCCTATACGTGTATGCAGAATTCCTCAATAGAACCTGCAACTTTCAAAATTAGTTGGACCAAGTTAGACAGGAAGAGGAAAAATGAGAGAAAAAAATGAAAACATGTAAAACGTCCTTGATGAAGAAGATAAAATGTACAGTTCCAATTAAAGAACAAAATTGCTCAGCTTAGATACTTTAACTTGGTTAGGATACTTTTCAGCTCAGCCATTCAGTTCTGACAAAAACATCAAAATATTTTAACTGCAACTAGATTGTCAAAGGTGAAAAGAAAGAAGAGACTAACTGACCTCATTTTCCTGGAGAACAACTCTTTGAACTTAACATGCTCACAAGAGTTGCATAAGAAATTTTAAGACCGTATACCGTAATTTTTTTTGTTGAAATATGGACTTTTTCCTGAAAAACGGCGGCTTCCCTGCAGTATAAAAAAAAATATTTCGAATTTCGTTTTTTTGAAACCTATTTGCTGAACACGTCATATTTCGACCGCCATCATTAAAAATGTAAGTTCACTTAAAACATATTATAGTGAAACTGCATATCTTCTGAAATAGTTCACGAACATTATTTGAGGGGCTTGGAAAACAAGACGCATGAGTGCAGTTCTCCAAAGTTAATAATGATTTCTAGTTAAACTTATCTTAATGCATATTCTGTGAAAAATTCGCCCCAAATTCCAATTTGTAAGCATTAAAAAGGCAGCTTGAACTTCCTTTTCGCCGTAAGGATCCATGTAATTTTGAAACTTTAAGCACATATTTCTCGAAATAGCAAAAACTACTCTTATGCGCCTTATCCTCCAAGTCCCTCATTTCATCCTTGTGAAAGTTGATCTTTTGATATTCGAAAAACCAGACATAATCCGATTTTTTCATTCCAATCTAGGCGAAACAAAAGGACGAAAATCCACTTCTGGCTGTTTTAAATTCTCCATTCTATGTGGACAAGACCCTTTTCATCGAGGTTTTCCACGACACATTCACTTCCCCCATTTATTTCACAGCACCCCGCGGGTTTGGCAAAACCACCAATTTACGTATGCTCAAAGCCTTCTACGAAATAAACACTTCCGAAGACGGAACTATCTTGAAGAAAGAAGAAACAGAAACTTATAAAGCTCTCCAAAGGGCGAGGACCATCGCCGCCACACGCGCCGGTAGATCACCAATGGACAAATTCTTCAATTCATACTTCGGGAGCCAACCGGTTATCTACCTTACTTTCAAAGATATCCACCACGACAGGTATAATATCTCCATGAACAGCCTAAAATGGCTCATGATCCATGCTTTTAAGGCTCACCCTTACTTAAACACTTCAGAGAAACTGACGCCAGAGGAAAAAACACTAATTACACAATTTTCCAACAACGAATTGCACAACGATACGGTCATAGAGAACAGCGGTGGCATCCTGGCCACACTACTAAGCAAGCATTTTGATAAACCGTGTCTTCTGCTCATGGATGATTTTGACGCATTGGCCATCAAGATGATCACCTATGGTTCAGGACACGAGGAACAAATTATAAACAGCGTTCAGAAGTTTTTGAACGCACTGCTTTCGGACAGAAAGATAGTCAGCAGAGCTTTGCTGACTGGGAAAACGCACTTAGCCGGTTACTACACACCGGCTGGCTTAGTGAAACACTATCAGTTTGGACTCCACGCGGTTTTAACGAAATTTTACGGGGCGAGCGTATCTGAGGCGCGGGAAATAACCAAAAACCGCCAAGTTCTCTACAAACTAAATTATGACTACAAAGGATTCACCTTGACAAATACTAATTACTCGAGATGTATTTACGACTTTGAGACGGTTGTCAAATTCCTAGAAAATCGTAACCACACTCGTGTTCTAGACTCGGTCAAATTCCTAGAGCCTGTTCTTGCAGATAAGGGGGTCAGAGATAGGATAGAGCTGGCTATCCGGATGGACCGAATTCCGATCACTTTGGCTAAAGAAACTGATGTCAGGAAGTGTTTCGTCACCATGGAGAAGATTTACAAATACGGTCAGGATCTTGTAGACTACGAAAATTATAAGGACTATAACGATGCCTATGGTATGTTTCAATCTAAACTTGACCTGCAGGATTCTAATAGGGACTGCCTTTTCCACTACCTAAATGAACTGGGCTACTTCACCGTCACTAAGAGTGATAAAGCCCACCTCACATTGGTAATACCGGACGCGGCTGCTTACTACACGCTAGGAGCGCAGTTGGAGAGGTTTTGGGTGGGCCACCTTCATACAACCAACGTCACCGCCAGGGACTTCGTTGAGGCGTTCATGGAGCTTTCCGACGAAAAATCTACTTTGGATGATTTCGCATACAGCGTGAACATGGTATTTGTGTGTTTTTACATTTTTGTTCAGCGGCTGACACACCTGCGAGTTACAGGCGCTTGTTGCAAGTGAAACACCAATGGGAAACCAGGATTTCGATCGCTCGACGTCGAGCTATCGAAATCCTCCTTGCCTATTGGTGTTTCACTTCCAACAAGCGCTTATAACTCGCAGGTGTATCTGGGCCTTTCGTCCGCAGGAAAAGGGATCTTGACCCACGGAGGCTAAGTTTTCAGTAGAGCAATGTTTGTCTACGTTTAAAATGAAAATAATTTTTTAACAAAAATATTGAAGGAGTAGGGACCTTGAATTGATTGAGAGGAGTTATTATTTTATAGTTCTGATAATAATTGATTTTCTAGGTTACATTTTGCCCTGAGGACAGTTAGCATTCTGAGGAGCTACAGTAGTCACTAATCTGATTTCATCTATTCCTGTTGGAGGTGAATAAATTGTGGACTGGGTCTGGGGAGGATTTTCTAATAATAGCGCAACTTAAAATCCGTTATTACTTCTTTTCATTTTATTTTTCCACTTTTAAATATTTTATTTTTAATTTCATTTCATGTAATTTTTTTCATAAAGCTTTGGGTCTGGTAATCCGCTAGGATTATTAGGGTCTTCGAATAAAATATATTTTTTTTTTTTATCGTTATTCTATAGATAAAGATCTAATACAATGTTTCCAATTTATTCTCACTCCTGATCCAAGTTTCTATCAGGGACCTTGTAAAATCTAAAAGTATATCAAGATGCTTATATATAATTCTGAATTTTAATGATATTTGAAAAATAATTTTAATTAATCATTCACACGTCCATTTCAAAATCATGCTCTCCTAGCACATTTGTGAGTCCGGAATATTTTGAAATATTTTAGGTGTTCAAAGAGTCTCCGCATCGACCAAACTCAACGAAGGATTTGCGGTCACCACTGTTTACCTTTTTGGCCACCAGGGTGCAGGATCACCCTGATTTGGAGATCAAATGCAGTGAAGACCAACACACCGGGCAAGTTGACATCCAAGCGGTAATGCAGCACAAAAACCCCTCCTGGCGCCAAGGAGTGGTTCTCGATTTTATGTATAATAATTGCAATGAAGCGGACTTTGCAAAACATGCCAAGACGAAACGTTACTGGGGCAGAATATTCAAGACTGTCAATATTGATACGGATGTGCTGACATCCCTGTTTGTCGGAATATGTCTCAGCGATAATGACGTTTTAGAATTCAGGTTTTTTAACACCAATAAAACACATGAACATACATACAATGTATCGAGGAGGATCAAGCATGGATGGAAGGCAAAGAAAATGTTAGGAAAAAATCACTAAAAAAATTCGCAGATAAAATAGTAGATATTGCGTGTGTTGGAAAGAATAGTGTTCAACTTTCTCAGATTCAGATTTGCGAAAAACGACAACTTTCCATCCGAGCGCTTGACTGAAAAGTGTTTCATTCCATTACAAGAAGATGTATTTTTTTTTTCTTTTTTTTTGTATTTTCAAAGCTTTAATAAAGACTTGTTTTTCAATTTTATTGAAAACAAATATTACTCATCTACTGGTGAAAGATTGAAGGTAACCCTTTGGAGCTAAAATTAAGAGTTCTCGTAATCTTCATCGTAATTACACTTTTTTGTCAGACTTCAATAAATGTTGGAATCGACCGAGCCCATTTTATATTTCGGCTATCGGCTGGTAATAATTCCTAAATGAGTCCACTATTTTTTACTGCAGCGAGGTGCCTTCTGAGCCCTATGAGCCTAAACCCCTTGAGGGCTGTGCTGTGCAGTAGCCGGGAGGGGAGAACAGGGGATGGTAAAATACTTCTTTAACTGCCTTAAAAATTTATAATAGAAATGAAAAAAACGGGCGTAATTAAGGGAGGGAAGGGTAAGAATACGACAGATGGATTAAGATTTAAAGGGGAAGCTCGAGACGCTCCTAGAGCAACGTTAATTTTAGCTCCCATAAAAAATCCAGAGCTCAACCCAATTAACACCTCATATTCAGACGGAATGCACCATTACACCTACTATTGCTTTTCAGCAGGAATTTAAACAACGTTTTAAAAACGAGAATAGAACAACGAAGACATTGACCTACGCCCGTGACCCAACATAAACTTTCAAAGCTGACATGAGTGGTCTAGTGGTCTAGTGATCGTCTTGGCTCGTCACCAAAAGATTCAGGGTTCGAATCCCGTGACTTTCCCAGTTCAATGACTCGGGAATACACTTCATCCGACCCTCTTACGATTTATTGTTTCCCCTATATTCCGGACTTTCTCGCCTCTCTTCGACCTACGGAAAAAAATGAAAGGAATATAAATCAGGGGAAAATATATGGCCTTCCATGCGACATGACTGACGGGGATTAGCGCAAGTCAGTCAACCGAAACGTTGACAAAAAGCTAAGACTGGCATGATTGTATTCCAAGGGTTTGCACTTGATGATGTACCAGAGATTTGCATTTTTAAAAATAGAGACATTAACCAATGGATAGGTTCAAATTATTAGCACACTCTGCAGCTTTACTTGGAAAAACTAGCTATATATTCTCAAAAATTTTCGAAAATTCAGTTTAAAAGAAAAAAAAAATATACAGGAATTTACTGACATTTTTTTATTTACACAAATTTTTCAGTGATATTGGGCGGTTTTTTCTGTGATTATTCTGTGTTTTTTAAAAAAAAAGAAAAACTATTTAAATAAACAAAAATATGCAAACACATAATGATAAAAAAAGCGATAGTTTCTTTTAAGACTGAGCTTAAAATATTAGGATTTTTTTAATTTTTTAAACGACATGCATGGCAGATATTCGATTTATTTATTGGGAATATGCCGTAAAAACTACGGCATATAAGATAAATCACCACAATGTACCATGTTCTATTTATTCTTCTTAGTATCTTTTTTGTGGGGTAGAATAATGAGAACGAAACAGTCAGATTCTGATGTGATTTTTCTTTAATGAAGATTGAAAGATCCTTTAAATGTTAAAGACTTGTGACGTGGTTCGACAGTTTGTCGGTGCGAGTTAAAGCAAAGTAGACGCTTGACGTCAGTTTTCGACGGCAGTAATAAAAAATCACGTCGAAATCAAATTTGTTACATTTACATGGCATATTTTTGAATATTAGCCACCGATAAACACGTTAAATCGTACATGAACCAAATTGAAACGCAAAAGATCATTGGATCCCTTTCCTGGCCCACTCGGATTTCATCATGCAGCAGTGCTTTGACCGGGACTTCTAACGCGAGTAAACGAATACGACTGCCAATTTGCACAGATAATCCCTGATTAGTTTGCAAAATTGAGGTTAAACATGCGATTTCAAATAGAATTGGCAACAAAGGTCTGTTGTCAAACCCTTTGTTGCCGATTTGCGGAACCGATTCGATAATATTGACGCTAAAAAGTACAATACTACACGATTTAATAGTTTCCGAGAAAAATACTTAATTTACTTCAGTATTGCCGAATAACTGAAAGGCAAGTAGAGCGGAACAAATTTTTTCGGGGCTCCAAAAAATAGAAACCCCTCGGTGAGCCTTAAAGTTGGTAGACCTCATCGAATACAAATACACCGACGTATAGGAGCTGTTTTTGCCTACTCGGTTAAAATGAAGGAAAATTATGTTCCATGCCGTAGACCTTGGTTTCATTCGCAACAGTATAGAGCATAATCCTAGTTAATATCCTAATAAACAGTATAGAGCATAATCCTAAATAATAAGTAGAGCGGAACAAATTTTTTCGGGGCTCCAAAAAATAGAAACCCCTCAGTGTGCCGGCTGACTCAGTAGACCTCATCGAATACAAATACACCGACATATAGGAGCTGTTTTTGCCTACTCGGTTAAAATGAAGGAAAATTATGTTCCATGCCGTAGACCTTGGTTTCATTCGCAACAGTATAGAGCATAATCTGCATTCATATTGACTAACTTGGCCGGTTGAAAAAAAAATGAAACACGGACACGGCATAGTTTCGAGTAAGCAAGGGAGGGTGGTTCACCTTCATTATTACTGGTGGGGGAATAAAGATCCTAGGTTTCAAAACAGTCGCATCCTTAAGGATTTATCTACAAGTTACATATCCGTGCAAGTATGAAAATTTTGACGTTTGTCAAAAACAAGAGGCGGTTTTTCGTGGGTCCGCCCTAATTTCAGTGGCCGCTTCAGTAGATAGTAGATATTCCAGATATTGAAAAGCATTATTATAGCTAGTATATACTCTACTTTTGACAAATTTTGAAAAAAATTACTCAAGCGGATTGCTTTAATTCTTATTAAACACTGGAAAAAAACCACATTGGATCTGGAGTCCAGACTCTTGATAACATTGACAAGAGAAAATACTCTTGATTCAGTTGGATTTTCGCTTGAATCAAAACGAAATCCGCTTAAATTAAGAGGCTTGGTTCTTGATTTAAGCTAGATTCTGATTGAATCAAGAGTACTTTTTCTTCTCGATGTTTTTAAGAGTCTAGACTCTAGATGCAATGGTTTTTTTTTTTTTTTTTTTTTTTTTTTTTTTTTTTTTTTTTTTTTTAGTGAATTTTTTCAACTGAGAGAGAATGTTTTGCCTTGGGTTTACAAAGAGATGTAATGTAGGCGCGGAGATTCATTTGTGAACATTGGCAACATCAACAAAGGTGAGCTCGGTGTACAACCAGCGAGGATAGATGGGACGAAAAGAGAAGCGAAATAGGGACTAAAAATAAATATTCTAGTACTTTCGTCTTGCACGTTGGCATGCGGCATAAAGCGCCCCGGATTGTAAACACGCGGCTCAATTCAAAACTTTCCAAGTATAAAGTGCGCACGTTTTCCTCTGCGGTCAATTGATCTTTGAATTTTACCTTTGGTACAAAGGTAAGTTCTTAAAATATTCACTGAAATTTCTTCCTGGTGTAGAAAGTTGCCCATATTAAAAGAAATACAAAATTGAAGATATGATAAACCGCGTTGCGTGTCTGCAATTTATGAGCGAAAAGTTTTTTTTTCTGAGAGGGCGTCTACCGTCTTAAGAATTTTTCGACGCCTAAACATTTGATTGCTCGTAAATATTTCAGGTAATAATACCTGTTCACGTTCAAATGTAAAATGTGCGTGTATAAAATTGAACATTTTTGCGACTGAAAAGATAATGCACGCAAATCCTAATTTTTTTTAAAATTAAAAAAAAAAATGTTCTGTAAGATTTTATTTGGTTTGCATTTTGCAATGAGGAACTGTTAGTTCTGGCTCACTCATGAAAGCACTTATCTGCATGAGGATACTAATGGCATATAAGATGTTTCTAAAATGAGTAAGGAATAGTAGTTCCTCATTGCATCATGTTACTCAAATTCAAAAACACTTTATGAGAATAATAGGGTAAGATAGAATACATTTTTTCACTTAAATGAATGTCTGTCCCTACATGGCAAAATTTGGTATCGAATTCAAGTTTTACCTCCCATGGACTTTATGATGCAACTGTTAAGTTTTTTACATGATAGGAGAACGGATAATCACGCCTTCAAGGCCAGTCGTATGATATCCTCAATGGAGAGTTTAATTATTTAATTAATTTAATTATTCTGTAGTTTCGCGGGTGGTTGGAGGAGGGCTATGACCTTCAAGATGAGATCGTTCGAAACATGTGACTTAAATTTTCTTCTGAAATTGATTAAATAAAATTTTACACAAGTCACTTCAGGAAGAATCACGGTGTAATTCTATTAGGTGAGATATAATAAGATTAAATATAAGGATAAATATAGGTTATACTTCTATTATTACAGTGTTTCAGGGATATAATGATGGTAAACACCTGTCTCCAGTTTTTTTAAAGACGAGAGCTGCACGTGGTCCAATCTGTATACATTTATTTTATTAGTTACATACGTTCGATTCTTATGCCACTATGCATTTTAAATAAATTAAATCTATATCCTACGTAGGTACGTGTAATGTTTTTTTTATTTTGATTTTTGTGATTTCAGATTGTCAACTGTTGCTAGAGGTGTCCAAAACATGGCTGATAAATTCAAAATAGAAAAGAAAGATACAGTTGGAAGGTAAGTTTTTGACTTGGTGCCCGTTCAATGATGATCAGGATTTAACGCAGCTTGTCTGGTATGGGCATGTGCAAAGGATGCCGGATGATATGTTGCCTAAGAAGGTTTTGGAATGGGTTCCCCATAACAGAAAACGTAGAGGACACCCTGTCAAATCATGGATCGATGGAATAAGGCAGTAAATGAGGAGATATGTATGATTTGCCGGAGGAGCTCTGGCAGGATTGCCATCAGTGGCGGTTGAGTGTCACAGAGCGCACGGAAGCGCTATATGAGCGGCGTGTTAGTATTTTTAAAGATCGAAGTATGAGAGCGTAGATCATGAAAGATATGTTGCAATTTTAACAGAGAGAGAATAAAACTTAAGACTTAAAATGCCTGATTCGACCAATGGAGATGTTGCATATATGAGGAATTTGCAATTTGACTGTTGATTCTTCTGTAAAAGTTCGCTAGAAACACGATGGTGCCACAGGTTTTCTCTGATATCAACTCTCAAGCTCAAAAAAAGCTCTTAAGTTGAGGCTAAAATGGAGGGGATATCCCACGCTATCCTGAGAGTCCACCTCTACATCAAGACAAACTCTCCGTGCAAAGAGAGGGAGGAAATACATTAGCAGGGTTGCCGTGTTTTCAGTTTGGGAGTCCTCAAATAAGGTGGCAGCCCTGTCAATGTATTTGCTCCCTATCTTTGCATGGAGAGTTTATCTTGATGTAGAGGTGGACTCTCAGGATAGCGTGGGATATCCCCTCCATTTCGGCCTCAACTTGAGAGCTTTTTTTGAGCTTGGGAGTTGATTTCAGAGAAAACCAGTGGCACCATCGTGTTTCTCGCGAACTTTTACATAAGAATCAATGGTCAAATCGCAAATCCCTCCTAACACATGCAACATCTCCATTGTAAGAGCCTCTGACTTAGCATCCCTGACTGAAACTGGATTTTGTTCCTTTTTTTGCCAAAATTTGAGGCTAATAAATTAATTGATGCGACAGATACGCGGTCGCAACATGTGATCTAAAGCCTAGTGACGTCATTCTAACGGAGGAGGCGTTCGTGGTCGGACCGAAAGCGACGACGGTGCCGGTGTGTCTGGGATGTTTTGTGCCTGTCGACTGCTCCTACCTCTGTTCCAAATGCACTTGGCCGGTCTGCAGTCCCGAATGTGAGAGCTCACCTTACCATGCTCCCGAATGTCAGGTGCGTCCACCACAGGATCAAAATTTATCATCAGAGTTCAGGGAGAGGAAGAAAAATCCCATGACGAGTTGATGTGAGGACTGAGAGTAAATCAGGACTTGACTATCTTGGTTAATTCGGAGGTTTGGGCCAGACGGTCGAACCATCGTTGGGACTTAGGCGATACTAGTTTGATGAATCATACAAACATACTGGGAAAAAAACACATTGGATCCAGAGCCCAGACTCTTAAAAACATCGACAAGAAAAAATACTCTTTATTCAATCAGAATCTAGCTTAAATCAAGAACCAAGTCTCTTAATTTAAGCGGATTTCCTTTTGATTTAAGCTTAAATCTGATTGAATCAAGAGTCCTTTTTCTTGTCAATGATTTCAAGAGTCTGGGCTCTAGATCCAATGTGTTTTTTTTCGAGTGATTTACACTACATTTTGCAATTAGGAACTACAATTATTTCCGGCTCGGTTTAGAAACAATGTAGAACGTGACTAGTCGTTATCATCCCTGTAAACATAATTGTTTTTCACGGATGAGCTAGAAATTGTATAGTTCCTAATCGCACAATGCTGTCCATTTAAATCACCTAAAACTAGTTCGACAAAACGGTTTAATTTCAAGAACCATGGCAATGAATTTGACAGTTTCGACATGGCAATAGCATTATGATGAAATCCTGAAAACTTGAGTTTTAATGGTGGCGGTTTCCAATGCTCATGAGTCAGAGTCTCCTCAAGAAGCGCAACGATAATCTTGCACAACAACGTTTTGATAGTAAGCATAATATGAAAGTTGAGAACATATTTCACTGTCAAAGATAATTATTTTATTTTTTTTTTTTTTACGAAAATACCATGGAATTTTATTTAATAGTTATTAATTTTATTGCAACAGTAAAATATACTTTCCAGAATCCAGGCTCTTCAAAAATTTGCCTCGAATTCAATCGGATTTTTATGCTTGAATCAAAAGTAAATCCGCTTAAATTACGAGACGTGGCTTTTGATTCAAGCAGAAATCCGATTGAATCATGAGAATTTTTTTCGTAAACTTTTTTAACAGTCTGGTCTATAGATCTGATGAACTTTTTTCCAGTTTATTAAATCTTAAGAGAAAATTCTTGCGTTTAGAAAATATTAGCTGCTACTTATTTAAAGGAGAGCGAAAACATTATTTTAAAATTAGCAGTTACTTGTCGGTAGAGAATTGGTCCAATCTGAAAATAAGAATAATCCCTAAAATGCTCTCAATTGATGTTGTACAGATTTTCAGCGCTGCAAACGCCAAATACCAGGTTCCCGCTGATTTGTTTGAGTACTCCCCGCAATTAGACTGCGTGACGCCTTTGCGACTGCTCCTGGCCTCCGAGAGCAACAGCAAGCGGTGGAACGAGGAGGTCAAAGACATGGAGGCACACATCGAAGCTAGGAAAAAGACCCCATACTGGGAAAATGAACAAACAAATGTCGTCAAGTTCCTAAGAGAGCGATGCAAGTTGGAAAGGTTCGATTCATTAATTTTCTTTTTTATTTCCCCTGCCCCTCTCTTCAATTCTGAGCTCATTTTATACAAAGAGCTCAAATATATTTTTGAGATCAAACGAAGCTTCAATGCCAAGACAAGACAACTGTTCTTGTTTTTCAGGACGTGAAGGGATTGAAAAAAATGTTTTTGGAATCAAACGAAGTTTCTTTGCCAACATCATTAATTTTCTTTCTTATTCCCCCCTGCCCCTCTTTTCAATCCTGAGCTCATTTTGTACAAAGAGCTCGATGAAAGAAATATTTTTGGGACCAAACGAAGCTTCATTCCCAAGACAAGAAAACTGTTCTTGTTTTTCAAGACGTGAAGGGATTGAAAAAACTATTTGTGGAATCAAACGAAGTTTCTTTGCCAACATCGAAAAGACAACTGTTCTTGTTTTACAGTACGTGAAGAAATCTGTGTAAAAAGTGAAGAAGAAAAATAAGTAGAGGAGGAGGCAGAAGAAGAAAACTTAGGTCCACGCTATTCTAAAACAATGCAGGAAGTATTTGTCCTTCTTTAATTCATCTCTCCTCTGTTTCTGCAGTTTCTTTCAAATCTAATACTGTATCATCGTTTCTGATCTCGCCACACATAGTGCGGCCGCCGGTTAGCGCGGAACGCATATGAACGCCTACAAGACTGCAGGAATACTTCACGCATTGCGCCAAACGATGCGGTCACCGCGCGCCGGTCGGGTCGGTGCGGAACGCACATTAGCGCCTACAAGACTGAACGAATACTTCACGCATTGCGCGCCAAACACAGCGCGGTTACTGGTTGGCGTGAATCTAAAAAATAAAATTCTTAAACCTATTTTTGACAGTTTTTTCCCCTTCGTGTCAGAACTAGAGGCACATGTAGAATCTCCATAGAATTTGCGTTCTTGCGGTGTGGAAAGTGATGTGCAATTGAAGAAGTAAAGGCCATAGGGTCGTATAATTCTAAAGGATTTACAGCCGGTCTTGAATGAATACACGAGTAAATAAATAGATGAATGAGTGAATCGTCATTTGAAATTTTGCCACGTTAGAATGTAATTGAGCTCCTCTGATCCATCACCTTTTCAATTTTTCCAACTTCCTTCTGGTTTAAATTGTGAGGTCAAGTTCAAAGAGTACTAAGAGTGAAAATTCCCTTTGAGCCACTTCTCAAAAGTTTTGTGCTTGGATAAAATATGGAAGCTAATGAAACCTGAAGGATCAGCCAGTTGTGCGTCACATAGTTGTTTTTTGATAGCTTTCAAAGTTTCGTCATTATTTTTTCAGATTCTCGGAGGATCTCATCCACACAGCTTGCGGAATTTTAGAAGTCAACGCTTTTGAGGTGCGGTCCAGCCAAGGGTACACCGGACGAGGGCTGTTCCCGAAAACTGCTTTGATGTCTCATAACTGCGTATCAAATACTTGTCATAGCATTGTTCCTTCCAAAAATTACAAGTGAGAAACGATTTAAATAGAAAGGAAGTTTTTGCATGTCTCATACAGGCACTCAAATTCGAGGACTCGATCTCTCAATATTCCTAACTGCATTTAAAGCTGGAGCGGTGAAATCCGATTGAGAGCGAGCAACATCAAATGGACTGCATTTTGGAATTTGGAACTATAAATATTGGCCCGCTTTTAAAAACGGCGTGTGTGCCATTAGTTTCCCTATGCACATACGTGTTTTTCCAGATGAGCCAGAATTTATACTTCCAAATTGCAAAATGCAGTCCAAATAAGATTGAAGTAACTGACTTACATCACTACTTGATACATTAAAAGTCAAGGAAAATATTGATACTGGAGGCATGTAAAAAAATATTTTCTCTTAAAGAAACTTCGATTGTTAACAGAATATTGGATTATCAGATTTTTACATGTTTCCTATTTCTGGCTGCAGGATTCATATACCTTGTCCATGGGCTTTTTAAAATAAATTCAAACCGCACAGAACTGTTTTCATAACACGTTCAAAAATCGTCATCTTCTGTACATCATTCACACAAGGCAAAGCAATCCAGTAGTATTTTTTCCCGTTCCTACCAGAGCTCTCATACTGAGTAAAATTAAAAATTCGGTCGAAATTTGGCAATGGACCACTAGACAAGGTACGAATTTAAGCAATCTGATACATGTTTCTTAACCAGAATTTCACGTAGAACACGATTCACACTACGAAAATTACCGAAATCAACTTCTAACGAAGATATTAACGTTTTTATTTCGCACTGATTAAGAGGAATTTGAACTGCCCGCTCACAAGAAACTCAAAGCTCTACGTGAGTCAAATCGCGCACTACAACGGTTTCAGCAAGCTTCTCAATCGAGCAATGTTCATTTTCCACCATGTGTTGTTCAAACTATTGGTAATTTGCTATAGCTGAGCCTAAGTGTCAAGATTGAAGTTGAAGATTTTTACATCGCATAGACTGTCATGATAAACATTTATCGCGCGATGTGAATCACGTAGAGCATTGAGTTTTCATAAGCGGGTGGTTTGAATTCACGCATCAAGAATCATTAAATATCTTCGTCAGGAGTTAATTTTGGTAATTTTCGTTGTGCGTATCGTGTTCTACGTGAAATTTTGGTTGAGAAACATGTATCAGAATGCTGAAATTCGTACCTTGTCTAGCGGTCCATTGGAAATTCTTATCAAAATATCCCACAATAAAGAAATTATGAAACAAACGGACACGTTAACACGAGGCCCTTTTTTTGAAATATTAATTTTTCCTTTTCAATTTTTATGTTTAGTCCCTCCAAATTATAAAACTCTTGAGAATAGTGGACATTTTTAAGGATCATCAAATACTCAAACTATAGCCTTCATCTTTAGCTTGTATGATGAATGATTTATTTCGTTCCAGGCTTATTCTCAGAGCAACAGTAGACGTGAAAAAAGGAGAGGAGTTATTCACATCTTACACGCAAAGTTTGCTACCAACTATGGTAAGACGAGAGAACCTCCTAGACAGCAAATACTTCCACTGCGCATGTCCACGCTGCTCGGACCCCACGGAGCTTAACACGCACATGAGTTCACTCAAATGCACCAAGTGTGATAATGGGATCATCATCAGCACCGATCCTCTGGGTAAGTGGTTTCCATGAGGAGAGAATGTATCACATTACAAACATACAATGCACACAATCATATGAATCGTGCTTTTAAGCAAGGCGGAAGTTCAAAAATTCAAGAGTCTTGGCTTGCATTGTTAATAATGTCATGGCGTCTAGCATGGTCATAGATGCAAAACTTCATAAGACTCGTCGAGAATAAATTTCGGAAGAAAAATGAAACCTCGTGGAATTTCATGAATTTTTCAAAAATTCTACGACGGACAAGGTATGCCATGAAAAGCGTTGAAGCAGAAAAATTTCAAATTGTGAAATTTTTGGGGAAAAAACCATGCATGAGTCGAATTTCAAATTTTCACATCAAATTCTCAGATATTTACAGCTTGCGTGTTCAGTTTCCGAAGAATTGTTAACATTTCATGATAAATGAAATTTCACTTTTCAGCAAAATTTCATTTTGCATCTCTGAGCATGGCTTATGGGTATTCGGATACTCTCGTCTCTCTTGCAAGTCAAAATGTTCCATTAATTGAAACACTGATTATGCGGGGAAGATGGATAGTCATTTTCACCCCTCTTCACAGAAATAGGCTGTGACTCAGCTATAACTAAAGGCCTCGTTCACGCGAGCGCAGCTTTGGCAAATTAGTTCCGCGCGCGAACTAAGATTTCGCGGAACAAGTTACAGCTGAATTAAAATAAGTTCCTGGGAAAAGTTCGCCCGAAGTCCCGCGAACTGCGCTCGTGTGGACAAGGCCTTGGTCCGCCGAAGTTCGCAGGATTCTGAGAATTTGGACAAGACCTTAAACCATAGCAACCACCCGATTCAACCAATAGGATCTTTCCGTTACCCATTGTCTTACTTGTCTATCAATTTCAATAATCAGCCCGCCGGTTCCTAGACCTACTCTACCGTACTAAGGAAAACCGTGGGCTGAAGGCTCAAACGTGCCGTATGAGCCTCCAGGAGTTTGCCAAATTTACTTCGACAAATCACTAATTTTCAAGAAAATGTGTGAATATTTTTCTTCCAATTTCTCAGGGAAATTTGCATTTAATTTGATCGAAAAAGTCTGAAAATTTTAAGGAAAAATATCGACAATTTTCCTCAAGAATAGACTTTTTATTAGAGAAAATTTGGCAACTCTCGAATGTTCATACGGCGTTCTTCCTCAACACGGCAGTTTTGGTCTTCGTTTTCTGCTGATCCTAACCTAGAGTGGTTTAAACTGATCCGAACCTATGTTCTCTACAGACGCGGAGGCGGAATGGACGTGCACTCACTGCCAGTTCAAACTTCGCGGGGAGCAAGTTCGGCGGATCTACCGGGTGATCCAGACGGAGATAGACGGGATGCCGGGCGAGGAAGGGACACCGGAGCGAATCGAGGCCATCGAGAAGCTGCTCAAGCAGTACCGGAGCGTCCTCCACCCCAAGCACGCCTACCTCACCATCCTCAGGCACTCCCTCTCGGAGCTCTACGGCCGCGCCGAGGGCTACACCTTCGAGGACCTCCCCGACATCCTCCTCGAGCGAAAGGTCGAGCTCTGCCAGCAGATCCTCTCCGTCCTCGACGTCATCGAGCCTGGCTACAGCCGCATGAGGGGTGAGTCTCCAACCAGAGGTTGAATCTATCCCATGGAATTTTAAGGGACCGTCCACGAGGGTCGTAATCATATTTGGACCGCATTTTGCAATTAGGAACTACAGTTTCAGGTTCATCCATAGAAGCACCTATCTGCATACGGAAACATACGGCACAAATGCCGTTTCTAACATGAGCCAGAAATTGTAGCTCCGACTTTCAAAATGCAGTCCTTAACAGCAGTACCTTTAACAGCTACTTTCCTCAGGAGGCACACTTAGAGTAAGGGAGACTCAAGGAGACCAAGAAAACACATCATGAAACGAACAATTTTTACCGACCTCCAGTATTTGCAAAACGACGGAGTAAGTCGGCAATCACATAACTCGGTTTGCGACGTCGCAGACTTCCTGTCATACTTTATTTTTTAAACGGAAAACTACTCAACGGTAAGTCTTTAAAACTGCCGTGAATTTCAAACATCAACCATGTAGGTAAGACAACAGTTCAATGTTGATGTCCCGAAAGTAAAAGCTTCCACAATAGCCAAGATACGGGTGGAGGGCCTCTACTCTGGCTCTGAGAGGTTACACAAAAGTACGGATTATTAAGACTTCTTGTTCTGATTGGCGATATCTCTTCTGCGTAGGCATGATCTTGTACGAGCTGCACGTCCCAATGATGCTGTTCGCGCGGAGTCGCTACCAGTACGGCGAGATCGACGACGCGACCCTGAGGCGGAAGCTGGAGGAGGTGGCCAAGATCCTGGAGGAGGCGGTGGCCATCCTCAGCCTGGAGGACCCCACCATGGGCGAGGGTATCGTCGCGCAGATGGCCCAAGAATCCCTCAGCCAGCTCAGGGCCTCCATCGCTACCCTCCCGCAACCATGATCCATGGTTCTATGTTGGATTTTTGGACTATCGATTAAATTGCAATATAATTACTATCGGGGCTTCAGATTACACCCAATCGGGATCAACGCAAAACTAAGCTGGGCAAAAAAGAAAAGTTTGTTCCATGGCTTTAGAGAATCATCTTTTTTGAAAGGAGCGTGCGGTTGTAGAAATTCGTTGGCATAACACTGCCGTGCTAAGGAAAAAGGTCGTATGAACCCTCAGGCGTTGCTGAATTTCCTTCGATAAAACCCGGATTTACTGGGAAAATTGTAAATGTTTCCCCAAAATTTTCAGAACAGTTTGTACGCAATTTAATCTCAAATATCTCAAAATTTCATGGAACAATAATTGCGTCAAAAATATACACTTTATCAAGGGGAAATTGAGAACTCTCGAATGTTCATACGGGGTTCTTCCTTAGCACGGCAGAACAGCACATTAACTTTTACTTTAAATTTATGGTTACAGATGCTTCACTGGAAAAAAAAACTCCGGCCGTGGATGCCGTACTTTACAGGCTTATAGACACACCATCCGCGTTCCGGGCTCAGAGGTCGAAAGTTCCGGAGCAATCGAAGCTACGGCTCCAGCACCCGGAAATTTCGGCGTCTGAGCCCGGAACAGATGGTATGTCTGTATATCCCGTAACTTTTTTTTTTTCAGTGTTATTTTAACGGGTATTCAGTGTATGTTTCAGTTATTACGCTGTGTAGGTACTTTCCTGTTTCTATGTTTAAGAATCTGAGTGACCTTTTTTTACAGTTTTATTATATAAAGACATAACTTGCATCAATTAATATGCTATTTTATTTTTCAACGAGATACGTAGGGAATCCACTTTATATATACACACATATTTATTTATGTCACGGTTTTCTCGTGTGTACGTTTGGTCATCTACTCATATGTCACTGTTCTGAAATTTAACATACAGATTGCATATACATATGCTGCTACTTTCTTTGGGTTGTTCTTTTTGACATTAATCATGTTAATATAAGATTAAATAAATATGTTATTGTTGTGCAATTATTTAGACTTATTTAAAACACTTCTTTCCTCCAACTTAAAATGGGCTTAAATTGGTCAACATAAATGTTCTGAAGCAGTATTGAGGTCTTCAACTATTCTTAAGTATTCCTGAAAGCAATTAAACGAGAAAAGAAAAACAGCTCTAACATTGAAGGGGCTAACATATTTTTAGGATATTACCCTCACTGATTCATGAAATTCATTTGCTAAATTCATTCAGGAATATTAATGTTTATGAATTGGACTACATTTTGCAATTTGGAACAATAAATTCTGCCTCATCTGAAAAAACACTTATGTGCATAGGGAAACTAATGGCACATACGTTGTTTTTAAACCGGGCCAGAATTTATAGTCCCAAATTGCAAAATGCAGTCCAGTTCTTAATGAAAGCTATTACGCGCGTGGCGAGTCCTTACACGCTGCGCGGATGCCAATGCTTGTATGCAGCTAGTCTTCCGCTAAAGTTATAGTTAGGTGTTATGCATTCACGTAGAAATCAAGGCACCGGAACTTCTGATTGACCAGCAGAATTCAAACTTCACCCAAAAATTTTAGGAACCATTTGGTGGACAATCGTGATTTTTGAGAAGGGACATTTTTCATTAACGAAATAACATTGTGAGCGGGTGGTGAAAGAGCCGATACTTTAAAAACTGCTATGAAACGATAAAAAAAACTTCTGGAAACGACTTCGGTTGGAAAAAAATTACTTCATCACGATTATTTTTGGATTAAAAATACCAAATGTTACTTGATACCACTGACTTGTTGAATCTTAATTGGTTCTCTGCGAGGTATTAGCTTATTTTGATACAAAAACCATTTTTCCGTCCGTAAACATCCTCGACTTTCGTCGCTTTTGGTCGAAGAGTTAGGTGATTTTTATGAATATAAAAGGAAAGAAATTGGTAATTTTTATGAATATAAAAGAATAGAAACTAATGTGATTTTATTTATTTTAAGATAAAATAGCAGCTGAGAGGCTCCATTGGAAAAAATCCTGTAAATATGCGGTATATTTTGATATTTTATGACTTTTACTATATCAAGTTTTTCAATATTCGGCATTCATTCCCAATAAAAAACAGCGATTAAAATAAAAACAAAAAGATCGAAATCATAATTTTTACTCCGCACACATATAACATAACAATACACTTTTCTGATGACCGAAAAGAACAATACCCTCTTGCAAAAAACATGAATTAATTGGAATCAGTATGAACAATCAGCCATGAGCGAGAAAGTTCATAGATCATGATGAAAAATACTTCATAGTGGTTACGATAAATTTTAATAGCGTGATGCTAAGCCACATATAGTGCACAATATATTCAAGACTGAATTACGAGCGTGGCGCGAGCTAGTGCTGCGACAATCTCCGACTAAAAATACATCCTCCGACAAAGAGGGGATCAGTGCAGATCTAGCACTCGGACTATCCATCTATCTCCTTCTCTTTCCAAGTTCATACAGTAAAACAAACCAAGAGAGAAATAGAGGTCACGTGATGAGCACTATCTCTGTCTCTCGTCCTCTTGTACAATTATACGATTCCAGACGAAGACGAAAGTCTTTTGGCCGGATGACTGGAGGGGGGCCCGGCTATTTTTTCTGTTCCTCGGGTCTATGTACCCGGCAGTTCTTTTCTTTCATTCAAGCCCCGAGCGATTTTTTCACCAATTTTGTCCGCGGTCCAAAACTGTGCCATTCACTTTTGTCATCGGACAGAGCGTTTTATCATAGTTAACAGGTCTCGTGTGAGTAAATCCCTCATTAATAGCGCATCGCCACTCGTTAAAACTGTGTTTAACACGGCTTTTCGCGTAGAGCGTGTTTGGATAAACACGCCGTTTGACGAGGACGTTTGATGTTTATGCTCGACTGGGAAGAGAATCATCGAGAAATTTCTTTGACGAGTCTTTCTTTTTGACGGGCTTGGATTGGATGATCGAGATACCTTGACACCAGGACAGAACTATATTTGTGTAGCTTGCTGGTAAATGTAATTTTTGAGGTCAATACAGTGAAATTGCGGTATTTTCTACTTTATTTATTTTTAGTTGTATTTTGTTTCTACACAAAATTAAATGAATATACCCCCAGTTTTAAAAATAAGGCCATAATCCATTACCATAAGGAATTTTTAATTACTTTTGGAGAGAAAAAAATACCTCACCTAAGTAAATACCTTTACTAAGTACATATAGGAATAATGCAATCTAGTGATTCAATATCCAATCATTTTTGGACTTTATTTTTGCAAATCTAATCAAAATTCCAATACCCACAAGTCATTTTTCTAGGTACTTCACTTGCTTCCAGTCCAATAATCGAAATCAAATTAACAAAATATTTGGATCGTTATTCAAAGGAAAAGATGTAATCGCTTACTTGCTCAAATGGAATATTACTCGATGCAAATGGATTTTTCAATCTTACGAGCTGATTTGGCACTTTACTGGCTATTAAATAAGTAGCAAGCGTCTATCATTTAATCAATTGATGCAATTTCAGGGTTCTATAATGAAAAGAGAGTGTCAAGTGTGCTCAGCTCCTGCCTCGTTCACATGTCAAAACTGTGCGCAAACTCATTACTGTGACAGGAATCATCAAAAAGAGGATTGGCCGAAGCACAAACTCCAGTGTGCTCCTATTTTGGTGGCACATAATGAGACACTCGGCAGGTTTGTATTTTAATTTATTACATTCATTGGTACTGCAGATGCTAGATGCATCCAATTTTAGGAATTGTACAAGAATGAAAAGTTACCGAAATAATTATTACTCAATTGTTCAGGTTGGAGAAATCTTTGAATCTTGGATCTTGATATTGACAAACTTTTTCACAACCTATTTTCACGGTGATTCTAGAGAAAGGTAGTGTGGATGCAATTCTGTCTTTAACTTACACATATTTTTAAATTATATTTGTGGTTTTTACTCCTTGGAGGATTCTACGACCTTGAGAGAACATCAGGCTAGAGGGCTTGCATATATCGAAGGCAAATAGTAAAATCAGGCATTTTGTCAAATGCCCTGGCAAATAGTCAAATATTCTTACTTAGATTAAAAATTTGATTTTTTACCCTGATTTTAGACAAAAAAATTCGTTGTTCCAGTAAGTAAGAATTCTCTGTAAAAATATGCAGCATTTAATAGTATTTTAAACGATTTTAAGATCCTGAATGCGCATTTCTCATGAAATTTTCAGTACGTCATAAAACATAGAATGTTTTAAATTTTAACATTTAAATGTACTTAAGGCATGTAAAAAGGAAGGAAGAAGAAGAGTTCGCGGATTTGAAGAGTTATTCTTCCCAAAATCTTGAAAACCTGTAAACTCGACATAAATTTGCAGAATTCGGTAAACTGTCAAAGTTTGACTACCGGCCTAGGCATTTGATAAAATGCCTAATTTGACTAATCGTCTTCGACATATACATCCAAGCTCAGTGCTTTCAAATTTTCAAGGATTAAGACCGAAAGCTATCAATATCTGCCGATACACTCGTCAGTGCTATGAAAATGTGCCATCACCAAGGGGATTTGAACCAAGAACCTACTGACCTAGAGTCAGACATTTTGACCACCGGGCTGATTATCGAAATTGATTTACAAAACGATGGATATAGAGGAGTAATGCATGGAAAATGGAATGATCCTACTTGTGGAGGCGGATGGTTTCAAAGGCTGTATCCGAATTGCGTCCCTGGCCATTCCGCATTGCGTCCCGAGCTCTATCCGAATTGCGTCCGGTGCATATATCGGGAAGGTGGCAACACCGCATTTGAAAGGCGATGTCAATCGATGATGATCGGACATGTTCAGTGAAAAATTCCCAGTGTTTTTTTAAAAGTTAGTATCGATGGCGAAATTATTGAATCTAATACGAAACACAATCACCAAAGAACTTGACGACAACGTTTTGACGAGACAAAAAGTCAGCAACTCTGAAAAAAAGGCAGCAGCAGACTTTTTTTTTTTGCAAGTAAGAAGTAATTTTTCGAGTGAAACTACCGTGACGAAAGGACCCTTTACACCCTGGATTATTTGTTTTACAGTTTATGACGAGACTCTCTTGATCTCCATTCGCCAAACGGTTTTTGTAATATAGGAACTTTATGTCAACCGAACCCTACCATTCACCGCTCTATTCCTATTTATTTTATTCTGCTTTCCGGACATTGGTATTAACATGAGAAAAAGGTGGGCAACGTTATCATTTACACCTTTTCCCTAAGAACTAAATGGACGTGATTTGGGACGCAGTTAGGAGAGTCCCGCCGGACGCAATTCGGAGTCTTCGGGACGGAATCCGGACTCACCCGGTTTCAAATGAACAACGGAAGTAGTAACAAACGACAGCCCACGAAAACACCCCAAGGGTAGTCCATCGTTTTCCACTTTGATCTATAAGAACCACCCGTTTCATTAAATAGGATCACCTCATATTCTCTTAGTCTCCTTTGTCTGTTGTTTTTTCTATCAATTTCAATAATCAGCCCACAGCAGGGTTGCAATTTTTCATGAAAAATAAAATCTTGCGTTATCATGTGAAATATTTCATGAAATTTCCGAAAAAATATGAAAAATATTGAAAATATCATACGCGTAAAAAAAATATCGAAATTAAAATGCAAAATTAAATGAAAAGCGACTGGTTTTTTGCGTTTCGGTGTTTTTTGGAGCGTGTTGCATACTCAGCTCCTGAAAATATGTCTCATATTTTCCATATTTTTCACAACTTTGTGAAATTTCATGAAATATTTCAAGGGAATTTTCCATAATTCATATTTTTCATTTCATCCGTGCAACCCTGGCCCGCTGCCTGGAACCTTGGAAATTCAACCTCACTATTTTTCCCGCAGGCACCTGATAGCGGCGCGCCCTTTGCGCCAAGGCGAACTCCTCCTCCGAGAGCGCCCTCTGGTGGCGGGCCCGCGGGTGGGGTCGACACCAGTATGCGTTTCCTGCTACCGGACCCTGCCGGGACCACGGCCGCGGTTGTGCGGGCGCTGCGGGGGCGCCTGGGTGTGCGGGGCGCCGTGCGAGGGGGGCGCCCACGCAGCCGAGTGCGCCGCCCTCCGAGGGCGCAACGTCGCCGTCAACGCCCAGTGGGTGCTCCCGCTCCGCTGCTACCTGGGCGTCAAGGGGTTGAAGACCGACCCGGAGCCGGACACGCGCTGGCAGGATGTCCTCGGCCTCGAGACTCATGAGAAGGAGAGGAGGGGCTCCGTCCGCTGGAGTGTTATACAGCGGTTTGTGGTGCAGGTATGGCAAAACGCGAATTCTGATGGTTTTGAATCTGAGCTACGATAGAGACAAGCTCATATTACTCACGAATGGAGATGTTGCATGTGCGAGGAATTTACGATTTGACCATAGATTCTTTTGTAAAAGTTCGCGAGAAACACGATGGTGCCACTGGTTTTCTCCGGAATCAACTCCCGAGCTCAAAAAAAGCTCTCAAGTTGAGGTCAAAATGGAGGGGATATCCTACGCTATCTTGAGAGCCCACATCTACATCAAGACAAACTCACCATGCAAAGATAGGGAACAAATACATTGACAGGGCTGCTACTTTATTTGGGGACTCTAAAACTGAAAACACGGCAACCCTGCTAATGTATTTGCTCCTATCTTTGCATGGAGAGTTTGTCTTGATGTAGACGTGGATTCTCAGGATAGCGTGAGATATACCCTCGATTTTGGCTTCAACTCGAGAGCGGTTTTTGAGCTTGGAAGTTGATTTCAGAGAAAACCAGGGAGACCATCGTGTTTCTTGCAAACTTTTACATAAGAATCAATAGTCAAATCGCAAATTCCTCACACATGCAACATCTCCATTAGAATGCATTTCGTAAATGGGAACTACAATTTCTGGCCAAGTTCAGAAACAACGTAACATTGGTTTTCCCATGCAGATAAGTGATTTTGTGGGTGAACCAAAAATTGCAGTTCCCAAGATGTAATCCAATTAAAGCTAACGACGCTGGTTGTAACTATCTGCGAAGGAGCTTCTGCTCTGGGCCCCTTCAATATCTTTGGATGCAACTATTTCAACGTGTAGGTGATTTTTTGCCTAATCGTCGAAAAGAAGGATTGAGTCCATGCCAAATAAATTTACGCACTTTTAGTCTGCGACTGAAGATCTGCCATCTTGATTACTGCATTTACATTCATAATGCTGAAAGACTATCCAAGATATGAGCACAAAGCTGGCTCTTTTCTCCAGAAGATGATTGAATATTTCATTGCAGTGTTTGTTTCATTGTTTTATACTTTCTGAGCATTTTATGTGCTCGGTGATAGATGGCCGAAGGAGAGGAGGAGGAATAAGAAAGGACACTTTTCATGCTAAAATAACGTCCAACAGCTACTGCTTCAACTTCTGCCGTTGGTAAAAGTGCGGGAACTTAGTTGGCGCAGTCTCTTATCAATCCCCCGTGATGTAGAAAATGCCAAGAAGATAATGGTTCCGTTATTAAAATTCGAATAGATAAACAAAAATAGTGCATAGACCTCGCGCTCAATTTTACAGACAGAAGATGAGGATAAAAGAATGAGTGATGAATGTAGGATTGTAGGTAACGAAGAACGACATTTTCATCCAGCCACCGAATACTGTACCTTAGCACGACTATAATATGTTACATTCACAATTGTGAAAAAAGGGCTTAAAACTGCTGAATATCCTTAGAAGCGTTTTCAAACTTTATGATTTTTGCGCAGGAGCTGCAAGAAGCAGGAGTGATCTCGAACGACGCCGAGCTGATGCACAAACTGTGCAGCATCATAGACGTAAACAGTTTCGAAATACGCGGGCCAGAAAACGCTAGCGGAAGGGCCGAAAGGCTCAAAGGCATCTACCAGAAGGCCTCGCTCATGTCGCACAGCTGCGTTCCCAACACTCATCTAGCCGTGTCCAACGACTTTCAGCTGATACTCAGGGCCGCTGTTCCAGTCGAAAAAGGAGAAATCATATCCTTTAATTATACCGGACCGATAAAGGTAATGAAATGCCAAATGCAGTCATTTTAGCATACTGATAGGCGTACAAATTAAAGTGATTTGAGTCAAGATTTCAGAGGCTCAAAAAATAATTTCAGCATTTTGACTAAGAGCGCCTAAAAACAGTCGAATTCTCCGTACACAGACACGACCGAGCTCGTTAGCAGGGTTGCCGCGGTTGATCTTCTTAGCTTTTGAATTCTACACACAGACTTTAAGATATTCGAGGGGCTTGCGAGAAAACATGACTTCTCTGCATGCTGAAAGATCGATGATAAATACGATCTTAACCCTAATGGGCCTGTTGCATGCAAGAGATACAGCCGCGCGAATAGACTTTTTAGAGGTTGAATGACACGAAAATTACGATGGTCACATTAAAAACGTCTGAAATACACTCCTTACAGCGCAATTTGCGTTAGGAACGCGCTTTTTCAAATTTCCCGCGTCTGGGGGCAGTTTTCTAATCACCGGAAACGAGCAAACCGCGGGCTCGGTGATTTCCGGAAGATGCCGAGTCATTGTTATTGTTGTTATTTTTTCCTTCAGTTTGTTTACAAACCCAACGTGATCTCCTATAGTGGTCCATATACGCTTTATGCGGTAACCAAATCGATCAACTTTTAAATATCCAACGCAATCCTTCTACATTTCATTTCACGATGTCACGAACTCCGATTTTTAGGTTATGTTGTCAGTTTTAGTTGACCGGAAATAGCCGCGAGTTGCCGTTAATTATTTCCGTTAGAAAACTGCCCCCAGACGCGGGAAATTTGAAAAAGCGCGTTCCTAACAACACAAATTGCGCAGTAAGGAGTGTATTTCAGACTTTTTTAATGTGACCATCGTAATTTTCGTGTCATTTAACCTCTCAAAAGTCTATTCGCACGGCTGTATCTCTTGCATGCAACAGGCCCATT